TGCTGTCCTGTAACAAAAACTTGGTACACTTCTCGATTTGTGCGTGTCATCCTTGCGCAGGGGCCATGCTAATCTTCTCTGTATCGTTCCAATTTTATCGGATGATCCCCGAAGGGAATCCAAGCATAGCCGCAGGCCTGAACTGCTCCAAAATGTCCCAAATGTTTGTTGCGGAGCCACTGAATGAAGCTGAGGCACCCGTCGGCGGACATAGCCCAGTGCTTCTTGAAAGCCTGCCTCATACTTACTAGCTGAGCTTTCAGCTTTGAGGGCTTCAAATATTTAGGGTTGTAACAACCATATTTGGTTGAGTACGAGCAAGGCTGGAAACATAATAGCGGGCAAGCGTCCATTGTCGTGACACACGCTCGCAGGAGTGTCAGCAGGTAGCACAGGCTGAGGTGACTGCAAGCTTTCTCCTGGACTTTGTACAACTTGACCTCCTGAACTCTTTCAACCCAAGCAGCCCCCAGCCCATCCAAAGTACCATCCATCAACCTCGAGTTAGAAGCTGATGTGCGCCGGGCAACAGCTTCAGTCTGCTTACCTGCAGTGAAAAAATGACGACCCTGCACGATACATCCTACAGAGTCTACATGCAGCTAGAATGCTGATGCCCTCCCACCGTCCAAGCTTACAGTACCTGGAATTGAAGTACGACTTGACCAGTTTAAAGCGGCGCCTCGCTGGCGCAGTCAACACGGGGGACCTGTGCCAAGCTCATCGAGATTTAACTATCGTTGCCTGCCTGCTGCAACAAACAAAGAATCCCCTTCTCTCTACGGTAGCTGAGCTGCTGCCTCCAGTTCCGTTAAATCAAGCCTGTGTACGAAAAGCGCCTCTTTGCGTTCCTGTTCCTGGCCTCGCCACCCACCAGCCAGGGTTCGAAGCGCCAGGCAGGATCTATGGCGGGCTCTGAGGCCTTCCAGAAATGGGCATGCTTCCGAAACTGCATAAGAAGCCGAGGCAAAACAGATGCTGAAAAGACGCCGAACAGATATGAGACACATCATGGCACATCTCTTCCATGTCTCAGTGTGAGAATCAGTGCACAGAAAGATCCCGCAGTTGAGACCATCTCCTGAGGCATGCAGTCTGCCACCTAACTACCAAATAGCGCACATCACCAAAGAAGGACGCCTTGCTTTAGCCGGCTCTTTCATTCGGGACTGGGAATCTTCAAACCTACAAGATTCCGGCATGTGAACGCTGAAAGCCTGACTGCCACCCTGAACGTCCTTGCAATCTAGCAACATTCCCACCTTTTCGTATGCACGCTCTGATGGAACTCGTGTGCTCGTGCCGGACGCCGACCGCAGCAGCAGGGAACCATTCCGCCTCTCTGGGTGCGATTAACGAATTCATCTCACGACACAGCGGCCAACGGAGCTCTGCGAATTGTGGTATAATCTGATTGCTCTGTAAGTCCATTGCAATCGAGTTCCAGGCTGGCAGAACTGCCTACAGGTGAAGTTCCAGCTTTTCTTTCTGAAGTATGTAATTTTGACCCGTCCCCAGTGCCTTGCTGCAGGCGGGGTTGGCATCTCCACCGCTGCGGCCGCTCTCCCCGCTGCTGATGCAGCTGCCTGGAGCAAAGGACCAAGGGATGACGAGATTTCGAATATTGCGATTGAGATTACTTGAGATGACTTGCCTGAGTTTGGCCTGACATTAACAAACCGAGAAGGTACCGAGGCAAGTCAGCAAGCTCGCTTTCGATCAGGGTTTGGTAATTGGAGCCAGGGTTCAGCCAGGTGCAGGGCTCCTGCGGCTGATGGAGGAGCGTAGTTCCTTTTTCAACGAGCAGGACTGCTCCAAGCATTCCGCTGGCTCACTACAGGCGTCGATTGCTGATGCAAACACGGCTTTCGTAGGGTTTGCAGTTTGTGCTAAAATGGAGAACACGAAGTAAGGTGGGGATCACCTTGCGCATCATCCCCAGAGAAGCGATCGCTTGCTAGCATCTAAGACTTTCGGCTGGTCATTGCAAGTGGATCCTGCCTCAAACAAAGCCTAGTTGAAGGCACGAGTGCTGAACCCTCAACCCCAAGCGCCATGCTCTGATGTCAATCCTCGAGACCAGCCCGCGGCCCTCAGCCCTGAACTTCCGGGCACCAATATTCCTTGAGTACGAGGAATCTTGCAAGCTCCGCTTTTTCTTCTGGTGCGGTCGGTCTATTCGCCTCTGCTGCATTTCTGAACATTATGAATATGTATGCATATTTTGATGTTGTCTCTCAGGAGTCACACTGACATGTTCTGTGATTCGTTGTCTGCACATATTCCAATGTCTTGAGTCTAGCCGAGTCTAGCCCTCAAATCGCCTGAGGCCTGGGCTAGGCTAGGCCGTTACACCGCCAACATCCAGCTACTCACTGAGCATCGTAAAACCTGAAGGAGTAAACTAGACTCGAAGCAGCTGACAATCATAGGCACCTAAACTTAGACCCCTACCGGCCCAAAAACACGTGCGTGCTATCGGTAAGGTGTTGAATGCTATCAGGCTGCTCATGCAAAACCGGTAGCAACACATGCTGCAGGATCTGTTCCGAGGGCTGAGGAGTCGTATGGCCAAGCCCAGTCTCCCTCTTTTTGCTGATGAGACCGCACTGAAGCTTCGGAATCTGAATCCTGAATCCCTCACTGAATTTCGGCTTTCAGTTCAGCTAAGTATGAAATCAAAGTTAAGGGGCTACTAGACGCATCTGCTGAGACAACCCCGGCGGTTGCTTCTGAATTGTCACATCGCAGAAATCACGCCTACATGAGGTCTGAAAGCTTGCGTTAGACTGGCCGCCACCTTGTGCGGCCTGGTTGCTCTGTACTACGTAATTTCCATTTTGGCAGGAAGTGGCCAGAACTCAGGCCGTCTACAAGCCTAAAACTCGTACGGGCAATCCTGAAACAATATGAGACAAGGAAAATGTCACGATGCTAATGAAAACTGTGCGATGTTCAGCTTTCACATTTTTTACCGTAGAACTCGGTCAGGACCATGTCAAACGGACCGTGCAGAGCTAGTTCGGCATGATGAAGATACACCTGGCCCAGTGACAGCCTGCATGTCTGGAGCATCACGCTCTTGGTACTTTCTCCTAATCTCCTAATCGTTATAATTGGCCGATTGGAGACATAGCATCT